GAGGAATAATGTTGATGGTTGCCCCACAATCCACCAAGATTTTATTTACCGTGGTTTCTTCGAGTTTAGCCCTTATAAATAAAGGCTTGAGGTGATTTTTCATCGCCTCTGTAGGTGGTTCGAAGAACCCATTTTGCTCCTCAGTAGTGCCATTATCCATGACGAAATAGCACACTGGCCTATGTTTGGCCATTTCTTGCTCCACTTCCCAATCACTTGTTTCGACCTCCACCTGGCGGTTGAACTCTCTGGGCAACACTGAGACTATATTCACCATGATGTCCAAAGTGTCATCAGACTCAGAACCATCTTCGTCATCAACTTCACCTTGGTTAGGCCAAACTAGCCTATTTGTTACTGGTTCTCTTTCCATAGGTTTCCTTTGCTTTCTTTGAGGAACATTTGAACTGGTTTCTGCCTTTGGTTCGTTAGCAGCCTCCCTCTCAGCTTTTCGTCGCCTCTGGTATCTCCTCCACTAAGATCGAGACATGGGATTTTTCCCTTTGTAGTTGCTTGACACCTGTGTTACTTTAAGGGCAGCAACCTGAGGCTCTTTCTTTTGTGTTAAAGATGAGCCTCTTGGCACATCGAAGGAGTGCCATCTTTCCTCGCTTGGCCTCTTTCGACCAGATGTCTTGTACCATGTATCTACTGGCACATTAGTTGGAGGCCTGAAAGTCAGTGGCCTCTTTTCTTGGTTTGAACCTCTTTGGGAGGCTCTTCTGGGATCATGTCGAAGATTAACACTTTCCCTTCTTTTATTTGCTGCTCTAACACCTTGAATATGTTCAGCAGCTTTTTTGTCGAAGATTGAACTGCATCTGGGACACAGCATCACTTCTGACTTCTTTTTCTGGCATCTTTGCAGAAAATCTGCCAGATTTTCATTTTCCCGAGGGAAAGCAGTTTTGTTATCTTGTTCTTGCCTCATGGCCTCCTCTGATGCTTTTGGTTCAGAGACTTCGACCATGTTGACATTCATGGTATCTTCGTTGGCAAGAGTCAACTGCTTCATTTGAATCTCCAAGTCCTCTGTCTGGCCTTGAACTGCAGCCAAGTGAGAACTGGGTTTTGTTCCAGATTTTTGGGCTCCTGCTGTCTCCAGCTTTGGGCTTTCGACCGCTTTCTGAACCGCTTCAATTGTCTTTCTGGATAGATTCCCAGAAAAACTGCCAAAGATTGGCATGTTGACACGGTCCTTTGAGACTTCGACCATTGTGATTCCTGGCCTCTTCGACTGGCTTATGGAGGCCTCGATCACGTTCACCTCTGAAGGTTCAGCATAATGGGCTTCAGCCTGCAACGGGTTAGAGTCCACTGTCATGGGGGTCTTGTCAGCAAACTTCAACCTCCCTTCTTTGATAGCGTCTTGCACAAGATTCCTGAAAAGAAAACATTGAGACATTTTATGGCCTAGAAAATTATGATATTTACAAAAGCCTCTCTTCTTTCTTTGATCAAGAGGAGGCACTTTTACCCCTGGGGGTATTATCATTTGGCCATCTTTTACAAGCAAGTCAAAGATCTCATCACATTTTGTAATATCAAAACTATAAGTCTTTTTGGGGAACCTATCGTTGGTCCTTTCTGGACCAGTGGGATTTTTTTCACTTGAGGGGACTAACAGCTTGCAAGAATATGGTGGTCCTTGTTTTAGTTCCGCTAAATCGACTTCTCCTTCTTCGACAGTTATAGTTTCGTCGAAGGCTTCTGGATCTTCGTCATCCATCTCAACATACGCTATCCTCTCTCTCTTATAAGTTTTCGTTGCCTTGGCTTTCTCAGCTTTAAGGCGTTCGACTTGTCGAACTCTATCGGCCAGTTGGGCCATGTCTCTCAGGTATTGAGTGTCTAACTTCTTCCTAATGGAATAATCTAAGCCGCTTGCGGCTATTTCGACTAACTCATGTTCTGGCACTTGTGTAAAACATCTCGCTTTGAGCAACCTAAACCTATTTAGATATTCGTCTATAGGTTCAGTGAAACGTCTCTTTACACTGGCCAATTCCTTCAGGCTTATCTTGGTTTGTCCCATGTAGAATTGCTCATGGAACAATCTCTCCAACTGGGTCCAATGATGGATCGAATTGGGAGGGAGAGTTGTAAACCAAGTAAAAGCGTTCTTTGTTAAAGAACTTGGGAAGTACTTAATCCTCAAGTTTTCGTTGTTTGAAATATCTCCTGCTTCGATCAAGTATCTCGCCACATGTTCGACAGTAGATTCTGTCGTGTCCCCAGAGAATTTAGTGAACTTGGGGACTTTACATCTAGGAGGTAAGTCTGTCTGTAACACGTACTCTGACAGTGGGGATGTGAAGTTGGGCCTACGAAAGCCCATGTTCATCCCATTTTGCGTCATGATTCTTTCGATCATGGTTGCCAGATTATTTTCCAAACCCATATTTTGGTATTAGATATGCTGAACTACTTCGTTAGCATTTTGGTGTCTGTTAACTAACCGTACCTCTGGGGCTACTACCCTAGGTTCTTCGACAGGCTGCTCCAATCGTGCCCTAAGGTTTTCTTCGACAGGCTGCTGGCCTTGGTTGATAGTGGTTTCTTCCTCTAAGAATATACCTTGGTTTCCCCTTATTTGCGCCCTTTGGGGCTGTCGAATAGGTTGGGGTACTCCAAAGAAATCAGCCAAACGCGTTATTTGCGCTGTCATCTGCTGATTCGATTGGGTGGTGTTTTGTATTAGAGGATTCAGCACTGTACTTAAAGTTTGTGCCAACATTTGAACCATATCATGGTTGCTTTCGTCCATTTGTTGCCTCAAGACTGCTGTCGAGGCATTTGTAAGGCCATGTGCTACTTGGGACGTTCCTCCTAAGAGTTGGGTCCTATTTCTATTCGCCATACCTACTCCAGAACCTTGGAGTGGCGAAGAGGCACTCACTAAAGGGTCTGAAAAAGTGGACGCAGCGTTCGTTAGGCTAGCCAAGTCGGACGTTGGCATGCCGTAGAGTGGTTCTCGATTATGACCGCCTGTCATAAATCCTGGGGGAACATAAGGCCTTGTGCCTAAATTTCCCCTTGGTGGGGGGGTTCCCAAAGGCACTCTGGGGCCAGTGAACGGAGGTAATGGCCCCGTCGTTGTGACCGTTACTGCTGGTGTTGAACCAGCGGTTATCGCTTCACTTACGGTTGGGATAACCGTTGATCCCACATTCGTTTGTGGGATTTCGTTATTGTTTGGCGGATTCACCATCGCTTCTCTTCTTCTGGCAGTATTGGTATTGTTAGTGTATATTCTACCACTCCTCAATAACATACAACACTCCTCGAAAAAGACGATATTTTGTGTAAACAGATTAAAATTCAAAATCAACACACAGTCCCATCAGGTGTGCCAATTTGTTTACCGTTGGTTTTGGTAAACAACCGCTGATCTTCCAAATGGTTACTTATTTGGTTACTCGCAGGATCGATCAGATTGATCCTAAGACATGGTTGATTTTGGGGTTTTGACTAAGTTTGACAATGGTTAAATGACAAGCAAATAAAGAAGCTTTATGTAAATTGCATGAAGAAGAGAACTTGATAAAATAAAGGAAGGCTTGAAATAAAGGTTTTCGACAGGAAAAGTAAAGGAGAAAGCAAGTAAAGTTTCTGGAAAGTAAATGACTTTGATTAATAAAAGTGGTGTTTCACACATACATTCTCAACAATTCTTTCTCACACGCTGGGTACTCGAATCTATATGAGTGACTTTGTATATATTTGTGAACACACGCGAAAAACTGCGTGAACTACTACTATTTATACTAAAACATCCCAAGTAACTGTCGGGCAGTTACACTGCTTCGAGATGACTCCACTTGGCACGTTCTCAGCGTTCGACGCTCCAGATCTTTGCACGTCGCACTTGGTAACCGCTGGGAACCGTTTTCCCTCCAAACGCTTGAATTTCAAACCGTTCCACTCTGAACAATCGAACACCTTCGTCGAGAAGCATCTTCGACGAGCCACACCTTCGACGTCGAAGGCAACCACATTCTCCCTTGGGAGAAATCCTCTAAGTACATTTCCATCCTCTGATGGGCATTTCGACAGACCCAGCTGGTCGAAAACATCCTTCAGCTTTGATGGCTGATATTAATAAAAACAAGGGTGTCGAATTTAGGAGCCAACACCATCTCACTTGACTAAAAATGAGAGCATGCGCCAAATGAGATGACACCTAAGACATAATGACAGGTGCATGCGTCAACTGAATTGATTCCTCTTTTGTGGAATTTTCTGAAACATGATTATTTGCGTAATTTTCTCTGAAATATATTATTTGTGTATTTTTTTTCAAAACTTGATTATTATAAATAAAAAATTCTCAAATTGAATGAGGACTAAAATCTATAATAAAATTTAAAAAAGAAACTAAAACTAAAATTTTAAAATGGAAAGTATCTTTACTTTTTAATTTTAACTTTAAAATTAAATTTAAATTTAACAATGGATAGATACAAGTATCATTTTTCCCACACACAAAACAACATGACCCAATTGCTCTGACACCCCCCGCCCCCCGCCCTACACCCTACACCCCTCTATATGTCAACCTAAGATAACCTGAAAGGCCACGACATGAACTACCACACACCCTTTTCTTCCCACTTCAATTCAATCTCATTCACTCCTTCTTTTCCCTAACCCTTATATTAAAGTTTTGATTTTTTCCCCCAAAATTCACAAACAACAAGTTAAGGGTAGGAACAAGTACGGTTTCACAACACAAACCTAGTGGCTCTCATTCAAACACACATGTGACATATCCATACCTTGTTCTCTGTCTCCTACAAATTTTGCATTTTATTTGTTTTCTATTCATTCAATTCAATCCTTCAATTTTGGTTCACACATTTTCAATTTCCCCTTTTTAATTTACCATTCTACCCTCTTAAACCACTAGCATATCAAGAATCTATACAATTTAGAACCTTTCATATCCCAATTCACCTCCTCAAAACCAGAAGCTTCTTCCTTTAGGTCCCAATTCATCAATGGCCTCATTGTTTTTATCAGAATGTGGGTTAAGGCCACTTCCTGTATTGTACACCCAACCAAGAACAAGTGTAATTTCATCTCAAAAACCTCCAAAGTTTGTATTTTTAAACAAAACAAGCAAAAGGGTATCTTTAGATCTTGGGTTTAAGGCAAGAAAGTGGGAGTTGAAGGTGAGTGCTCCTTTGAGAGTTAGTACTAGTGAAGAAGAAGAAGAGGGTGTGAAGGAGTTGCCACAATTTGACCCTGGTGCACCACCTCCTTTTACATTGGCTGATATAAGAGCTGCTATTCCTAAACATTGTTGGGTTAAGGATCCTTGGAAGTCTATGAGTTATGTTGTGAGGGATGTTGTTGTGGTTTTGGGTTTGGCTGTTGTTGCTGCTTATGTTAATAGTTTGTTTGTTTGGCCTCTTTATTGGGCTGCTCAAGGAACTATGTTTTGGGCTCTCTTTGTTCTCGGTCATGATTGGTACTATTTCATCCCTTTATTGTTAGTTTTATTTTTAATCTTTAATGCTGATTTTTGTTTCAATTACTATTGGTTGATTTTAATCTTGTCCGTTACTGCAAAAACAACAAAACGATTGTAATACTGATATTCAGCGTTTTTATGATATAATTGTGGTTAATTCACACCACGACGGCCGCAATCAGTATCACGATATCTGTGCTGACTGAAATTGGGAGAGTTTTTACGCGATTGGTATTTAAAACCTTATGTTTGGAATCACACCTTAATTAATAACTGTGATTGATGTTTTGGATATTTTAGTGGTCATGGAAGCTTTTCAAACGACCCCAAGCTGAATAGTGTTGCAGGGCATTTGCTGCATTCTTCAATCCTAGTACCATATCATGGATGGTATGTTTATGAAAGGAATAATTGATTTTCTAGTTCACTTTTTGTATTGTGTAGTTTTTGCTTATATTAATTGTTTTTTGTCTAAGCTCAGAGACTGATTTTTTGTTGTTGTGAATTATGCAGGAGAATTAGTCATAGAACACATCATCAAAATCACGGTCACGTTGAAAATGATGAATCTTGGCACCCAGTAAGTTGATAATAACTGTTCTAGCAGCTACAATTGTGCTATAGCGATAACAGTTTAGCAGAATTTGAATTAATCGCTATTGTTCTGTGATACACTATTTAGTAAAACGTGTGAAATAGCGAGTATAGCACTGGTGTGTTGTGGAATTTAAACAAACCACTAATTTATGTTATATGAGATTGACATCAGCATCTTTCAAAATTTTGAAGTTTCTAATCCATGACATTTATTTCTAAATCTTGCAGTTGCCGGAGAAAATCTTCAAGAGCTTGGACAATGCAACAAAAATTTTAAGATTTACAATACCTTTTCCAATGCTTGCATATCCTTTCTACCTTGTAAGTTTTAAAGCCTTATTATTTTTCTCGAATTCGAACATGTTTTGCTATTAGTTATGGTGTATGAATTGACCTATCAAGCACAGACACCTGATACGACACTGATTATAATATTTGAAAATACAAGTAGTTGTTTGTAATTACAAGTTACAAATATCAGTGTCGTATAAGTATCAGACACTTGTACACGCATTTCATCTAAAGTGTCAGTGCTGCATATGTTTTATAATGATGGTGTTTTGAATTCAGTGGAGTAGGAGTCCGGGGAAGAGTGGTTCTCACTTTGATCCAAACAGTGACTTGTTTGTCCCAAATGAAAGAAAAGATGTTATTACTTCAACAGTTTGTTGGACAGCTATGGCTGCTTTGCTTATAGGATTAGGATTCGTTATGGGTCCAATTCAATTACTTAAGCTTTATGGCATTCCTTATATGGTAAATTGCATTCCATCACTTTTTCTTCTAACCATGAGTTAGACTTTTTTTTTTCCTTTTGAATCAAAATGAGTCCTAATTTGCTTTCACTTCTTGATATTGAAGCTTTTTGTCATGTGGTTGGATTTGGTGACTTATTTGCATCACCATGGTCACGAAGACAAGTTACCATGGTATCGTGGACAGGTATCGTTCTCCTTACTTTCCCCGTCAAAAACTATCTCTCTTGACTTTTGTTATTTTCTCTTTCCAAGTTTCTTTCTTGTTTATGTGAAGTTGAAAGTTATCCGAACCAAATATTGTTTCAAAGCTTATCATTCATTTTGTGTGGACAGGAATGGAGCTACCTTAGAGGCGGACTTACAACTCTTGATCGCGATTATGGATTGATAAATAACATCCATCACGACATTGGAACTCACGTCATTCATCACTTATTTCCTCAAATCCCACACTACCACTTAATAGAAGCTGTGAGTATCTATTTACACGAAATTCTTCCGGTATTGATTATAAGCAAACATAACTAACTTTAATACATTAGAAAATTCAGTTAAGTGATGTAGAGTATTTGGATTTTCCACATTCATGCAATCATTGTTAAGATTAGACGGCCCCTATTCAGAATTTGTACTTTGTTTGGATTTGATATTTTAAAATCCAAACGTGAACCGTCTGATCTTAATCCAACAGTCCAGATAGCGTGAATGCGTCAAATGTGTGAATGATAGTTCTTCTCATGAATCAAACAATTTGAATTTGAATGTGTTTCCTCCTATTGTAGACTGAGGCAGCGAAACCAGTTCTTGGAAGATACTACCGGGAGCCGAAGAAATCATCACCTTTACCATTTCACCTAATTGGAGAGTTATTAAAAAGCATGAAGAAAGACCATTTTGTCAGTGACACTGGTGATATTGTTTACTACCAAACAGACCCTAACCTTAGTGGCTCTTCTACATCAAAATAAACCTTTGATGTTCATTTTTTCCTCTGAAAAAACAATAGAGGCCACATAGACTTTGAAAATTATGTGAGCACTCCAATTGAGTCCTATAATGACCTATACATAGTAAGAGTGAAATTCCTCATTAGTAAAGAAAGAGGTGAATGACAAATTGGATTGTAACATGGTGCTATGGCATTGATTGAAGCTTGTTGAGCAAGTTATATATGTAATGTGTTCTTCATTGAATATCAACATGCGTGTAAATTTTTTATTCTTGATGGAGGAAGTGATGTATTCATTGGATTGATAATAATGTAATTTTTCTCAGCCTAAAAAAAATTGAGTGATTATTATTGAATAGAATTTGTCACTTGTGTTTATCTCTTGATTGGTTCATTCTGATTTCTGACCTCAATTGGTGCTTTTTGATATTTTTTGAATATGTGATGACAAATTAGGCTAGTATGTGTGGCACATGATTTTCAATGTTGTAAAGTTAAGTGCTTCCACTTATGTGCTTTTCAAGAGTGGACCCAATTAGGCTTGTTTTTCTTGAATACTAAAATTTGTCAATAGTTTTATGTTCTGTTTGTTTTCATGATTATGATTGAGATAATAGTTGATTGGAGTCAATTTAAATTGAAATAAGTGGATTTTTTTTTTACAATTAAAGTAAGTGGATTTAAATGAGTATACTTTATTCATAAGACCTAGTTTAATAGACAAATATTGATATTGTTCTAAGAACTGTTAAAAACAATAATACTAGTTTTTGTCGGTAGACTCAACATGCAAATGCTATTGGTGCCTTACATAGTAGTAATGAATACTAGCTTAATTAAAATAAATAAATTTTAAAACGTAATAGTAGTTAAGGGCCTATTATGACTAGACTACTAAATTAAAAGAATGGTATAAAATGCATACTCAAAATCTGGAGGGGAAAATCAAAGTGGCAAAAGAAGAATTGAATAAGATGGAAATTAAAAATTGAAACAGAGTCTTTGTCGTCAACAGAGGAGGTTCGAAAACAAGAAGCTTCGACAGATTTTTATAAATTATCGAGTCTCAATTGTAATATCCAATGCCAAAGATCAAGGAATAAATGGCTGGAAGAAGGAGATGCAAATTCAAAACACTTTCATGGATGCATTAACAAGAGAGAGAACGCAATTCAGATGCTAGAAGTGGAAGGAAGAATGGTGAAAGAGGCAGAGGGGATAAAAAAACAATTCATGATCATTTCAAAAATGTGTTCGCGGGCAGAAAGGGGGTGTCCGCACAGATAACACGGAGTTTAAAAAGTTGGAGGAAAATGATTCTGCTGATTTAGTTCGTGTTTTCTCGGAAGAGGAAGTGTGGTGTGCGGTTTGGGAATGTGAAAGTTCTAAAAGTCCAAGATCAGACGGAGTCAATTTCGGGCTAAAGGAATTTTGGGAAACGATTAAAAGTGACTTTTTGAGAATGTTGGCAGAATTTCACATAAACGGAAGGTTGGTAAGAGGAGCAAACTGCTCATTTCTGGTCCTTATTCTTAAGAGTAAAAATCCAACAAAGATATAAGTATACATGCCAATTTCTCTTGTTGGATGCATATATAAGGTATTATCCAAGGTTTTGGCGAATAGGTTGAAAAAGGTGATTAACAAGATCATTGCAGAAACACAATCAACTTTCATTACCGACATGCAGATTTTGGACGGGATTCTAGTGATGAACGTAATTGTTGATGAGGCAAGGAAAAAGAAGAAAGAAGTGATTTTGTTCAAGGTGGATTTTGAAAAGGCATACGATTTTGTTGACTTGAGTTTTCTTATACTTGTGATGGAAAAAACGGGCTTTCCTCTAAAATGGCGTAATTGGATTTTAGAGTGCTTAAGCTCTTCATCAATATCAGGGTTGGTAAATGGAAGTCCAATAAATGAGTTTAAGATGTGTCGTGGACTTAGACAAGGAGATTCACTCTCCCCATTTCTATTCCTAATCGTTGCTGAAGCATTCAACGTGATGATGAAAAAGACGATAGATTTGGGGAAATTTCAAGGTTACCAATTTGATGAAGGTGGGGAGAGGTTTTCACACCTGAATACATGGACGATACTTTGATCATACGTGAAAAATCATGGTCAAATATTTGATGCATTAAGGGGATATTTCTTTTGTTCGAGTCGATGTCCGGGTTGAAAGTTAACTTTCACAAGAGTTTGCTCGTGGGGGTTAATGTCCCTTAAAATTGGATCATGGAGGCGGCGAATATTTTAAATTCTGGTACCAACTCTCTGCCTATCTTGTACCTTGGTTTAACAATTTGAGCTAATTCAAAGCGGTTGGAGACCTGATCCCATGTGATAAATATAGTCAAATCAAGGTTGTCAAATTGGAAGAATAAACATCTCTCCATTGGGGGTCGAATTATAATTATGAAATCAGTTCTTTATGAGATTCTGGTGTACTTCCTCCCCTTCTTTAAGGCTCCAACAAATGTTATTCTCAAATTAGAGTATGTCTTTAAACAGTTTTTATAGGGGGTAGTGAGGTAGAGAGAAAGATAAATTGGGTTAAGTGGGAAAAGGTTTGTAGGCCAATAGAAGAAGGAGGGTTGGGAATTAGAAGGTTAGTTCATTTGAGTTATTAGGAAAATGGAAATGGAAAATTAGAGTAGAAAAAAGGGAAATTTGGTTTTTGGCATTAGTAAATAGATACAAGTCGATCGTGGAGGCCATGAGCCCGGGGACAAGAGGAAGCTCAAGTTGGTGGAAATATTTGTGTTTGTTGGATTTAGGTAGGCTGGAAGGTTCAAATGAATATTTTGTAAAAGGTGTTTACAAGAGTCTTATGCCTGAAAGTTCAGACGAGTTAAGGAATCCATGACCAGAAATTTGGAATAAAGCGATTCCAGCAAAAGTATACTGTTTGGTTTGAAGGTTGCATTACTACGGAAAACCCATTTCACAACGGTTGGATAACACATATAATCATGCGGGTCTAGGCGTTATTGTGTAGAGTGTAGTTGTATATGTGGCACTTACAATCACGGGTCCAGGAATCATTGTGGTAAAATTTCTATCACAACGGTTGACGTAAACAACCATTGTAATAATTATAGTGGCATGAGTTTGATACCCAACTACAACCAAAATTAAAGCGCATAAAAATAGCATTTCACCACGGTTAAATGTTCCAACCGTTGTGGTATATATAAGCGTTTATTATAAAATATAAGATTGCTTGTTTTTCTCTACCCCTCATTAACCATATACAACCATTCAAATAGATTTTTGAGACAATAATCAGAAAAATTAAGTTATTCTTGAAAAACAACTTAAACGATCTAATATTTTTTGAATTACAAGCATCATGTAAATCATGATTTCCTCTTTTAGCCTATAGGATTTGATTCAATCCCAAATTCTTCAAATTAATATTGATAAATGGATGTCAATCTGAGTCTCACATAAAATTTGATTTCCTCTTCTTTTCTACTTTATTTTTCAAACATCAAGTTTTGTGTGAAGATCCAGACTGACACCTATTTATCAACATTATTTTGAAGAATTTGTGACATTGAATGAGATTCTATACGCTAAAAATGGAATTATGATTTACAAGATGCATGCAATTCGAAAAACATTGGATCGTCTAAGTTAATTTTCAAAAATAACTTAATTTTTAAAATTATCATCTTAAAAATATTTTTAAATGAATGCAAGTTCAATGAGGGGTTATTGAAACAAGAAATCACATATGATATAACAAATCCACTAACAATAATTATCAACAAAAATATCGAATTAATTTATAAAGATTGGGAGAACTGAACAACTAACCATTTCTACCACCATCGTCATCACCATATGAGGTTCATCTAGTTTGTGAAGCCATGAAAAAAAAAGGTGAATGAAGTTAACACAATAGCTTCATACTTCTTATATTTATCTTTATAACTTTTAAAACTAGATGAAGTTTGTTGTTGTTGTTTCTTCATTCACTTTTCTTGAGTCCTACAAACACCATGAAAATTATCAAAATGTGAAATCGCAAACTTATTTGTCAACACAACATGCAACAACAACATAGGACAATAAAAGAGCTATAAATTATCTAACAACAACAAATTCATAGGAAAACCAAGTGAAACATAACAACAATATACACAAAATGAGAGAATAAGGAAAAAGAAGATTACCTTTATGTAAAAAGAACAAGATTGACGGCTATATTGTAGAATAGAAATGCTAATGATGAAGAAGAGGAGAAAAAATTAATTCTAGGGTTTTGATGTGATAGATACGGTGCTACTATGAAAGAATGAGAGTTAATTCACTTATATATAAATATACTCACAACCATTGATGTTTACACCCGTGGTCGTAACCCTTTATTTTATATATAAAAATAAATAAAATAGAAAAGATGCGCCTTAACGGTAAATGAATAATATATTTGAGGGCATTGAGTTTCGAACCCAAGAAAGCATGGATTCTATGACTACGATTCTGGCTGCAACTGTTATTATATGTTAACAATTTTTAATAAAAAAATAAAATAAAATGTTAGCGTAGTGGGTTTAGAGATGTCACCACGGTGTTGGAAGAACCGTCGTGAACTAGGCATTGTTGTTTGCGCGTTTTGTAGTAGTGTTGGTTCAAAACAGAATTGCAACAATATATAACTTACTTAAAAGGGGCATAATAGTACAAGGTCAAGTTAGTTGCGTTGGAGGATGTGGGAGTGAGGAGTCGGTATCTCATCTTTTTTTTTTGCGTGTAAGTGTTTTGCAGGTGTTTGGAGCAGCATACACAATTGGTTAGGAGTATCATCAACTCTTCACAATAATGGCTGGCATCATATGATTCAATTTAAAAATCTACTTGCGATGGAAATCTGGTGACTTTAAAGACGTGTATGCTGTGGTGCGCGTGCATTTGGTGCATATGGAAGTCTAGGAACCATAAAATCTTTCAAAACGAAGAAATATAAACTATAAAGGTGATAGATGAGGTAAAAGTTTATTCTTGGAAATGGCTCAAGATAAGATCAGAGTTGATCAAGGACAATTTTTCTCCATGGTGTTTAAACCCAAAGGCCTGCCAGGGTTTAGGGGCAGGCTGATTAACAATTATTTTTGTCCAATGATTGTTGGTCTTGCCGAGCAAAAGCAGTTTCTTCTACTTGGTTAATCTGCATCGGTGTTTGTTTTTGGCATATTTTCTTGTTTTGGCGTGATGTTTTTCTGGTCTGCTGTTTTTAGATGTTAGTCGCTGTAGCGGTTTTACTAGTCTAATGCGTCATAAGCCGTCAGCTTTTTTGTATTGACTAGTCTATTAGCCTCGTTCTACTCTCATCTGCGGCCTGAGGCATCTAAGATTTAGATTTTGGGAGAGGCATTGGTGCAGGTTTATTTTTGTTGTATGTATGCTATGGTTGTTTTGATTTCTTGCCCCTGTGGCTTTTTTGTGTAACAGTTTCTGTTTGCAGAGGTTGTGCTAGTTTTTATATACTTTTTGGCTGATTAAAAAAAATACTAGACTAGTAATACTATATTAAATATATTTGTACAATTTAGAGTTGCATTTTTGGACGTAATTTATTTTTAGATCTCATTCATTTATAAGTGAGTCACATCTTTATCTACCATATAAGAAAAATTTAGTCTCTGAAAAACCCTTTCTACCCTTGGCCACGTGTCACAACCTTATTACAATTGCTTAACTCTTAATCTTTTTCTCTCTCATCACTCTCTCTCTCTCTTCTCTTTGTTTACGAGCGCGGGCCGAAGGTCATTCTTCTTACTCTTTGCAAACATTCTCCTTCTTCTTCCACCTCTCTCTCTTCTCTCTCTCTCTCTCGCTCATCTCTCTTCCCTCTCCTCGTCTTCCTCTTCTTGGTGGATGAAGAAATGCATACGAAAGTTAGAAAATGTCGCGAGAAAGAAATGCACAGGTATCACATTTTTTTGGTTTTTGTATAAAATTAGGGTTTTGATATGATGGTTAGGATATTTGTGGTTGATATGATGATTTTATGGTTAGGGTTTTTGTGGTTGTAGTTGATATGATGCTTTTGTGGTTGTGGTTAATATGATGATTTTGTGGGTAGGGTTTTGGTTTTCCATCGTTGATTTCTCGCTTGGTTCTTGCAGAAGAAATCGACGGAGGGAGCCGGAAGAACACTTGTCTCCAAGGTATATTTGGTTATTCTTTTTTATTTGTGGGTTGAATATAATGAGCACGTGCTTTATATTTGTGGTTGGTTTGATGATTTTGTGGTTAAGGTTTTTGTGGTTGATTTGATTATTTTATGGTTAGTTTTATAAGATATAAGAGACTCAAGAGTGACAGGGATAAAGTCGTTGAGGCCAGAGAAGATTAACATAGATTGTTGAATGAGGTACTATAACTGTAGTTAGTTTATTTTGGTCTTTGATGCAACCTATACTCAGATTTAATTTGCTCGTTATTCTGCTATTTTTGTTTGTCAATCAGTATGAAGGATGCTATTATGCTTTTGTTTTGATTTAATTTTGTCATTATGATTTAATTTTGTGTCAGGTTACTTGCAGAAAGAAGCATAACCTGACATTGTTTCTCATGTTGACTTGTTTTTGGTTATAAGGCAGGAAGTTATATTACCGTTTAACCAATTTTCTAGAATGATCAATATTAGTTTTTGATTAAATTACATTCTAGAATGGTGGATAAATTATATTGTAGAAATTGGGAACTCTCAGCACCATAGACTGGAATACCTGTGCGGAACATGATAGGTCAAAGTTGATAGCGAGTTACGAGTCGGTGTTTCCGAAAAAGCCAGTCACGCGTCGGTGCGGAACATGATAGGTCAAAGTTGATAGGTCAAAGTTGTTATTTCATTTTTGGTTTATAAGATATACGACACAACTTGAGAAATGCCGACTTCTTTCAAAATGCTTTAACCATGATGCAATTGTGTTCTTTCAATCGCTTTTGTTGCTACCAGACTAAAATTGTGTTGTGATTGTATCGAACATCGTAAAAGGCACCCCAAAGAATCGAGTCTAAAGGAGATAGGTGGAAAGTTGATGCAAAAACAATTGCTAAAGTGAAATTTCAGCATTCAATGGATCATGACCGTATCGATAATATTAAGTACTCTTCAAAAGTCGATTGTTTCTTTCTGCTGTTGCACACCTTTTTTGTTTTGTTTTGAAACGATCAATGTTAATATTCTTAGTATTATAGCGGGGATCAAATGCTCAAACTCCTAACACTCTACTCCTTAATTCCCCTGCTTCAGCCACCACACCAACACTGTATTATATCCCCTTTTCTGATTTAAATGTTGTTATCAGTCTTTAGAATTTGGAATCATCTTCTCTATCTGCTTTTTATGCTACTGATTTAGGTTTTGTCATTCACTTCTTGTTGGATATAATATTTAAAAAATTAACTAGCCTTTGAAAGTAATTATGCATCAAACTTGATTAAAGCATGTGACTAAATTAACCGAGTAACCAAAATCACTGGAATAGCTTTAGGAGTGATCTTAAACCTGCAAATCCACCTTTTATTTGATTGGGGGGTAGCAGCATTATAAATTTACACGCGCTTCTAATTTGAGCATCCATACTTTTGTCATTTTGCATTTAAAAATTTGGAAGGTTCAGCTGAGTGTTATGATTTGGAAACTTTAGTTACTTATAGTAATTAGTGAATTTGTGCTCACCATGTTCTTTATGTTGGGGCTTTAAGCCTTCTGTGTTTTCTAGCATGCATTTCATTTCAAGTCACTTCATTGTTTACTATTTTTTTCCTTGCAGCACATGCTGGATTTATGTCAGGAATCTCAGGATTTATGTCAGGTGTCGTGTTTATGAGAAAGGGAAGAGGTCAACCTAAAGGGCCGAGCCTTCAAACAAAGGTTAAATGGGGTGCAAGTTAAGAATTGATTATTCTTGATAATTCATCAAATGAATTGGAAGTTTATCTAAATTTGTAGAGGAGCATGAAACAGGTACATATGGATTCACTTTATTATGGATTCCAGTTTTATTGCTTATACTCTTCTTGCATCAAAGTTCTTTGTGTCAATTTGAGTCCCTATTGATTAATTTAATTACATGTTTGGTTCACTGGAAGATTTATTTTGCATAGTGGTGGTTCAGATCGCGTTGGTTTTTCATCTGTTCATTTTGCTGATGCTCATATTCTATATCCAAAATATTCTGGGTCGGCATCGAACTGATCACGTTCCTTCTTATTTTTCCAAAACACATGATTTCCTCAAGTAGAATACAATATCATCTAAGATGGTAACTTGCCCCAACATTTTCTATGATGGAAGTTGTTGAGAAAAATAATTTTATATCTCTATGAAATGTTACTTAAATTAAGTGGGATATATAAACAAATTGGTTTCTCATGTAATACTGGGTTTATTAGTATATGAGACGGACCACAACAACGAATGCGAGATTTAACAGTTTTTATCATTAAGTATTGGTTCATAAATTTTAGTACTTATAGTTTATGTTAATTGTTGTATCCCAAAATTTCCTATCCCATTTCACTCAAGATATGCTTCTAGAGATCTTCAATTGCTCAAGGTTGACCAAGAATTGACCAGACAAAATTCTCCTCCTAAGGAATGACTTTTCAACTAGGGTTTCACTTTTCACCAAGATGTTTGAGATTCAAATTTCTCAAATATTTTCCATGGTTCTAATATGTCCTCAAGATTGTCCATGTCAAATTTCATGCCTTGCACAATAAATTTGCTCAGCCAATTGTCCAAATGTTTGAAAATCAACTATACTAGGTCAAAAGTAAACTGTGGCCCACATACAATCAAACTTCAATATTTTTTGTCAACATCAACATTTTGAAGTGATATTCATCATTTGATCAAGGGTTGATCATGATTCCTCAAAGAGTGTCCTTAATTTATCAAAAGTCAAGAATTGTTAAATTAAGGTTTTTATAGGAAAAATCAACTGAACTTTGACCAGGCATAATTTTCACATACTTAATCCATTTCCCCCCAACCAAAGCTCATTTTTAAGATAATCCAATTACCTACAACTTATTTTTTATCATCAATCTCAAGAAATGCATAATTTGAAAGATATGAGCTCATACGTTACAAGTCATTTTCAAAAAGTCAACAAAAGACACTTTTTGTCAAGACAACTTACATCAAGATAACATCTTCAAAAGAAAAAATGATAATCATAGAGATTATATAGGACATCTTGGGCTTTCTAGAAAGTTCAAGATCATCTTCAAAAGATGAAAATTGAGCAAGTTATATTTTACACAAGTTGCGCAAATTTGTGAAAAATACATGAAGTCAACTTTGAGAAAAATTGCATTTTTAGATTAATGGACCTAACTTTTAGGGTTCAAACATGTTTATGACATACCCAAGGACCTCTAAACCTAACCATGCACTATTTTGATTTTTATTTCTGTTTATTTGAATTTTTATTAATTTAAATATGAATTAAATCAAATAAATTAAATAAAAATACAAAGAATAATGGACCATGACATTTGGGTTTGATTTGATCTATTAGAAGGTCCATATTTTCGTGCAAGATACATCCAAAGGGACCAGGTTCGACCAAAGAGGCAACGATATCACAAATATGGATATTTTTCAATGTGTTTTATCCTTCTCTCTAAGGCCATGAACGCATTGATTCTTTACCATATTTGTTCACTCCTATCTGCCCTCTATAAATACATAACATTACAAGTCAAAGGGAGCACAACATTCCTCTCCAAAAACTCTTCAAAAAGCTCTCCAAAAATCAAAGAATTTGTGCAAGTCATATCTCAAGGTTCTAGTCTCTCTCGATTGACACCAAGCCTCAAACCATCCTCCTGAAGTACCCAGGAGTCTTACAAGGCCCAAGAGCAGTCCATCACACGCCTAGCACTCCCCCATTTGACAACACCGGTTTGGTAAAATTTTAAACTTTAAATCTCTAACTTTAATCACATTTCATGACATGCTAACGTGTGTTTGAGTTTATATAGAAGAATTATGGATGGTTGAATCAGATGTTCTATGCAAGAATCTGAAAACACCATGGCTAAGGCATGAAGCTTTTAAATATTTGGGCCTAGGAATTTCTGATGATTGCACCCCCTGTTTACTTTTGCTACTAGACCCATCTTTATTTTCTTGTTTTATTCATTTTATTTATTTATTTTTAATTCTTTTTTTTAATAATTTTAATCAATAAACAAATATAAAAATCACATAAAAATAGATTTAAGATTTTTCTTAATTAAAATTTAATTTTGGTAAATTAATTAACTAATCACTTTAACATTTTTTTAAATTAAAATTAATAGAACTTAAGTTTAATTTCATTTTAATTTATTTTCTTTTTCATAACAAAAATACCAAAAACACATAGAATTAATTTCTTTTCTTTTAAATTTCATGTTTCTTTAATAACTAACCTTTTTTTACTTTAAATATAGATCTAGATCAATTATTTTTTTAACTTAAACCATTTTCATATATTAAAACAAAAAACAAACAAAAGATTTTCTCTTAGGATTTTTTAGACGTCCTTTCAATTCGTGCGTGTTATTATCTTTCGCATTCTATTTTTTATACTATTGTAACTGCCTACTGGATGTAATAGAATAACTAGGACTTTTACTTTTTCTGCTTTATTTCCCATTTTAAATATGTAATTAATCTTCCTCCCCGAAGCCTTGTAATAATTTAAGATTTATATTTCCGCATTTTTAATTACTACAAACTATTAACTGTCTAGATGCATGACTAATAGGATTGTATGGTAAGAACATGATAATCAAATGCTAGCAAACCTAACACAAGACAAAAATAACTGAATGCAACACACTCTCACATATACACCTCTAGGATATCCCTACTTTGATTGTCTTCGGAAAACAGTCACAACTCTCGAAATGTGAGAGACTTTAGTGGCTACCTTCTGGTTTAAAAGATAAAAAATGACCCTCTCGATGTTGCTTCGGTATGATCTTAAAATCCTAGGGTAGTTACTAAGGTTTCTTGCCCAGTTTCCTTTGTGACTATAAACGTCCCCTCGAATGTTCCTCAAACATCCAACGACTAGAGCTACCTACTCACTAATAGTAAGATAGCACTGTCTAAAGGAAAAGAGGAAAAGAACAACCCTCTCGAGTAAAAGTAGATAGTTCTTAGATGCTATGCTCAAAACAAAATTTTACACATACAAAAAACTTCTTTCAAAAAAATTTTCAAAGACATTTTGTATATGTTCTCTACTTATCCGAGAAACATTGCAAAGTTCGCCGTACTAAGGCATCTTCTTTCAAAATACTTTTCAAATACACAAAGCACAAGATATTTTAAAATGAGCTAAGCATCAAAGAGTCTGTAGATAACTACGGATGGAAATGGTGCTGACACATTCTCTTTTCATAATCTATCCCCCTTACTCAGAAATAATCTCGAAAGGTCTTTTTCTGTTTTTTCACTCTTTTCTTTGTTGGATAAAAGAAAAGTCGGTGACGACTCTTGTTTACCGCAATATTTACGAATACAAACGCAAAACCAATATAACAGTCAATTCTTCCACCGTATTAAATTTATTTTATTGTCCATGAATCAGTCCTTATAATTTAGCATATTGCATTGGTCACTGAGATACTATTAGAGTGGTGTTACTCTAATATGGACCAATACTTTAATCGTATGAACCTATAAGGACCGCAAGAGAAGCAACAAATTATAGTAATCAAATACAAATCAGAGAAACTATTCTGGACCAAAGTTTGCAATGAGCAGTGTTTTCATATATAGACGAAAAATCGTTTTGCTGATATGTAGCCTAATATCACACATGTTCATGAATAATACATAAAAAACAATTGAAGTAAAAGAATACAAAGCATAATTTCTTTAAATAATTCGGATGATTAAAGAATACTTAACTTATAAATGAAAGTAATCAAGAACACATAACCACATGGATTGAAGTTGTAGCTTCATGGTTTTGTTGTTTTTATTTATTTTAAAATTATTTTAAATTATTTTAAATTTACGATACAAACTTATTTAAGATAATATATGAATAATTAAAATATATATTTTTGATGTAAAAGAATTTTGGTAAAATAATTTTATTTTAATTTTAAAATGATGTCATTTTTTTATAAATAACAAAAGTGTGCGTACCAGATCAGTACTCGTGCGAACGCACGGGTATCCTACTAGTTTTTAACAAAAATAATATGGAAATGCATTTTCGGAAATCTTCAAAAACAAATCTGAAATTTTATTTTCGAAAACTGTTGTGTTTATCAAACAAGAGACATATGCCGAAACAGATGCAAAAAACTAACATAAATTAATATCAAGTGATGGTTGATGACGTTTCAATATCTTTAGAATATCTTCAGTCCATCTTACAACCTTCACATCCACCTCGAACGGACACTTTATTTCGTAATGGCACTATGCCAAACAAGACATTAGACAACGTTTTTTTTGGCTTTTAACAACGCTGCTAAAAGTAAAGACATCACTTTTTTTTCAATGTAAAAACGCTTTCTTATGCCCACTTTAGGCAGCGCTTTTACATTAAAAGCGCTTTCTTATGCACCCCCTTTAGACAACGCTTTTTTATATACCCCTTTAGCAGCACTTTTGCTTTAGACAGCGCTTTGTTATTTTTTAAGTTAAGCTTTAGACAACGCTTTGTTATTTTTTAAGTTAGGCTTTAGACAACGCTTTCATTTAAAAGCGCTGTCTATTCTCCCACTTTAGACAACGCTTTCCCACTTTAGGCAGCATTTTTTTTATAGTTTTTACAGCGCTTTTCTCTTAAAGCGCTGTCTATTGGTCACCATTTTTTGTAATAAAATACCTATTTTGACTTACAAAAGCGCTGCCCAATATATATAATGCAT